GGATTGCTGCTGTTTTTCTAACATTTTCTAAAACAGCTGCAAATTACACTCCAACTGAATGACACTTTATTTATTTTAGTTATTTGAGATGTTATAATAGTTCTCCAATTGTGTTAAAATAGATTAAACAATTATTATTGTATAATAAACTGGGGGGGGCCTTTCATCAGAGTGGGAGGGCCTGTGCCCATCCAGCCCGTCCGCTGCCTATGCCCCTGGCGCTATATAAATAATGTTGACTTGACGTCATCTAAAAACAGCTTATATTGAAGTCAATCTGCCAAAACAACAGGTTTTGGAATGTGTCACTTTATGACGTAACAGTGTGGCTAAACACTGCCTCTGCAGAAGATCAACTCCTGCTTGTTTACACTGCATGTTTAGCCCCTGCATGTTTAGCCCCGCCCACCGATTCAAGCACATAGTATGTAAATGTCGGGTGGCAAACGCAGTTCTACGCAGAAACCAAATATAAACTTTATTTGATTAACTTTATTTTTAATGAAGTGCCAGTCAGTAAAACTTGGTCATGTGTTTTTCATTTTACCGCAGATTAACTGACAAACAAGGCACGATTCAACACAGGATTTTCAGAAAGATTGAAACTAATAGACGATGCTGTGCCAACTATATTAGATACGATGTCGCACCAGACAAGTGTGAGTAACTGTTTTCATTACATGATCACTATTGCTTTGTCTGTTATTACAGATCGTTTGATATGTACAGAGTATTTATACGTTTTTAACCTAAATCACATCAGCATCCATCTATGAAGGATGTAGGCTGTCAAACATACACAACTGTAAGCCAATCATTCCAGTGGGTGTTTACTTCAGAGTCTACAATCTGCCACGCCTCTTCAAACGGAGAGTTCCGATGAGGGGGGTCAAAACAGGACAGAAAATAGCCCATTACGAAAATAGCCAATTATGTTTTTTTTCTTGATAACATAAGTGGACCTCAGAGAACAGTACAAACAAAAAAAGCAGTTCATGACCCCTTTTTAAAGTCAGGCAGCAAAGACAAAGCTAATGGTTTCAATTTTAGCAGCTTTACGTCACTGTATTTTTCTATAAAATCACTCACTTTAGAGGCACCAGATTCAGATTTCCTCTGTCTGCGCCGACTAAACTGTCTGCGGGATTTCCGGGGCTGCCCTTCAGTCTGCTCCCTATTGGTCTGGCTCTCTTTAGGGGTCGATTCTTGCTCTTCTGTGGGAACTACGGTCTGTTGAGCCTCTCCAGGGTGTGGATGAGGACGCAATGGCCTGCATATTTAAGAAAAGAGACTTTCGTGTTAACATAATACTTTAAATCCGCACAGGGTACATGCATGTTTAAAGGTAATGAAATGTTAGACATCATGCAAAAAATTTAAATTAATCTGGTCCAAACATACAAATGAGGATATGAACCTTCGAAATCGAGGTCTGAACCTGCGTGGTGGCGGCCTCTGCTGGGAAACATCTACTTCCGTGTTTTTCTCTCCTGCTTCTCCCTAAAGCAGAGACAAGAAAACTGCTCACTGACAAGCTGTGTGCACTAATAAAACAAAATGAACCGTTTTAAAGGCTTAAAGAGATAGTTCGCCCAAAAATGCAAATTCTGTCATTAATTATGTCGTTCCAAACCCACAAGAGCTTTGTTCATCTTCGGAACACAAATTAAGATATTTTTGATGAAATCTGAGAGCTCTCTGACCCTCCATAGACAGCAAGGGTACTACCACGATCAAGGCACAGAAACATAGTAAAGACATCGGTAAAACAGTCCATGTGACATCAGTGGTTCAATTAATTTTATATTTATATTTAATTTTACCGTAATTTTATGAAACTACAAGAGTTTTTGTGCATATAGAAAACAAAAATAATGACTTTTTTCAACTATTCTCCTCCTCCGCGTCACCCCTAGCTCCGTTTCGGAGAGCATCACGGTGCATACGCGTGCTCTCCTCTGAACGTTAAAGGGGTCATATGATGCGATTTCAATTTTTCCTTTCTCTTTGGAGTGTTACAATTAGAGCCCGACCGATATATCGTTTTGTCGATATTATCGGCCGATATGAGCCTGTCGCCGATATATCGGTATCGGCCGATATTAACTTTTTTTTACATACCATATAACGCAGATAAAATGCTTGAAATGGTGTAATTACTTCGTTTGTCCAGCAGAGCGCGCTCCATTGTTTGCTACTGGCGACTGGATGAAACGCTTTAAAGCTTAATTCTATGGAAAACCATTGAAACTTTGAACGGCCATATCTCCGTAACCACGCGGCGAATCCGCACCAAATTCGGGGGATCCCTTCAGCTCGAGGAACCCTCCCGAACGCGAATCGAGTGTACGTCAAGAGGCCCACTTTCGAATGAGACCACCCTCGCGTCGATAGCCCCCGGGGTTCGGGAGTTATGGGTGGTTAAATTCGCGGTCCGGCGCCAAGCGATCCTGGGGGGCTACCGACACGCGAAGGGTGGCGTTCGAGAGGGCTCCTCGAGCTGAAGGGATCCCCCGAATTTGGTTGAGATCCGCCGTCGCGTTCATGAGATAGTGACACCAGCCAACACTTTCACTTCAATAAGGAGGTCTCTTGTTCAGGCAGCAGCATTCAAGCGTCGTCTTATTCGACCGTAAGTGCCCTGCGAAGTGGACTTCACATGAAATGATTCCAGTTCCAAGGGAACGTACACGTTACATTCAAAGGGCATTAAAGTGCGTGAGACGTGAATTTATATTGTATTTATTTACAGAGGTAGGGGAAAGCGGGGCACAAAGTAACACTTTTTGACTTTCTCAGTTTGTGTAAATCCACATGGGGTTCAGAATATATATAT